GTGCTAAGTATTGTAAGTTTTTTATAGATAAATCCAAGTGTATATGGCGATGGTCTTTGGTCTTTTGGATTTTGGAAGGTGTGCATGTCAACAATTTTAATTTTTGATTTTCCGTATTTTCAGTTTCTTAATACATATTTTGAAATCCTTAAATCAAAATAATATGCAAACGTTAAACATGATTTGGACAGGGTAAAAATAGAGAAGGATGCTACAATACAGCATGTTCAGGGTTTGTTCAAGTATCGAATGAGGTTCCCATCGTCGAACCCATTAAATTTAAGGTGGGGGAGGCTGTTTGGTTACGTCGCTCTATCTATCAGGTATTTTTCTAATTTTATTATATACCTTTCGTTTGTTTTTAATTTGGTTTTTTCTAATTTATACAAAAAATTCTCACGTCATTTCTACTTAGTAGTGAAGAATTGACGAGGCATAAAACTAATTACTGATCGATGTATTAAGACTATAACTTCTCTAGTCTAAACACTTTTCCTTTCAAGTAATTTGATTAACAAGTTTTTTTGTTGCAAATGTTCTTTTATTAACAAATGAATTTTGTTTTGCATGTACTGAACATAAAAGGATAAACAAACAGGAAACTGGTGGGTTACAAATTTAACACCTAACATAAATATTGGCTATTGGCCAAGAGAACTATTTAACCTTATGGAAAATGGTGCAAATATGGTTGGAGCTGGAGGTACGGTTCAAGCTTCTCGTTTTGGTCAAAGCCCTCCTATGGGTGATGGTAGATTTCCAGAAGGATGCTGCGACGAAACATCAACTTTTAGAAATATTGAAGTCTTAAATTCGAACTATGAGAAATGTAGAATRGATTATTTTCCTGTAGAGAAGTTGTTAGACAGTACCAAATGTTATGGGCTAAGAATTGGGACAGACAAACGTCATCTTAGTCCACGTGATTACTTTTTCGATTATGGTGGTCCTGGAGGAAACTCTTGTGGAATTTGACATTTACGGTAGCATCTCGAGGTTTTGGCATTTAATAAACATTTTCTAAATTAATAATATGCAAATTTTATACAGTTAACTTATCTTCCTTTTTTATTTTGTTCTCTGTTATAAAATTCAACTATACAAGAATACTACGACGTTCTGTTCAGATTTTTTTTACTAAGCTATTGCTTTGTTAGTTTTATTTTGTTTTTCACCACCAAAATTAATTCAACTATGGAAATAATTTTTTTTGTCAAAATGGATAGCTTCAAGTGCATCAGATAAGAATTTCGTCTTTTGGAGGATGGGAGACACGTCCTTAGCCAGTCTCGTCTCCAGGAGTCGACCGGTTTGTATGAAATGGGAGGGGAAATTTTTCCAAAACAAAGTTATAAGAAGAAAATAAGAAAAAAATTGAAAGAAAACGTTTTTGGTTAAAAATATAATCTGTACAAGGTACTATATCTTAATCATCATATGACCAATTATAACTTTTTTTTTTCATTGCTACATGCCAATTTTCCAATGATTCTCCTTTTTTGTTTCCGGTCAAAGTACTACCATTCCCCATTTAATTTTTTGATT